TACTAACTAACAAACTAACTACTTACTTACGTAGTAAGTTTAGTAGGTAGGTACGTCTATTAGTAGTTAGTTAGTAGTACTCACGCTCTATATAACTTACTACTATATATATATATATATATATATATATAGACACACGTAGATTTTAAGGAGATAAAAAATCGTCGGGTTTTAAAACACTGGCCTTCCCAATCAAGCTACCAAAACAAAAAGAAAAAAAAAATGAAAAAGTTTCATGCATCTTAAGATCAATGAAAAAGGTCTATTTTTTGGAATGACTCAAAATCTAGTTTTCTTTTTTTTTTTCTTGAAAATACTCATGTTGTAATTATAAATGCAACCCAAATTTCCAGATGGAGAAATTTCTCTTATGTAGCTTTCACAATGTGCTTCTATGAAATTACACTATATGAAATTATATAGAGTAATGATCCTATGAGACCCTCCCACACCCATGTATGTAGGACCCCAAAAGATCACCATTAAATTTGGCACAGATCTCTAGAAAAGTTATCACATAGGTATGGGATTTGACTTTCTAGATGTTTGTACTAAATTTAATGGTGATCCTTTGGGATCTTATATACATAGGTGTGAGAGAGACTCACAAGGTCATTTTCTAATTATATATCATCTAACTGTCTTTTTGGAGACTAGATGGTCGATGTTTTTTTTTTTTAATATTCATGATTGTGATGATCAATAATATCAACAAGCACCGAAACCTCATGACTCCGATCTATTTTTTGGAATTTCAGAAATGGAATGGGAAGACTACCAAAAGATGGATGGCCAAACAGGCCCTTGTTTTTATTGAGAGAGGATTTGAAGGTTGGGGTGCTCGTTTATTTTCTTCTTGAAATTAGGGATTTGTTTTTAGTGAGAGAAAGTTAATATTTAACATGACTTCCAAAAAAAAAAAAACCATGGCTCAAGGGCGGATAGGTGATGATAGGGAAATGCTATATCGGTTGGGAGGATCCGTCACTTGGGTGTCCGACCCTGGGGACACATCCGTTTCCCAAGTTTAGTATTGCTCAAGCCAAGGTTGTTCTTTATTCAACCTTGAGCTATACAAAAAGAGCAATGCTGGAAAAATCGAATCGAAATGGCTAACCGGACATGGGATGGAAGTAGTTCAACCAACCTACTCGGACATGGGATGGAAGTAGTTCAACCAACCTACTCGATAAATAGGTTGGTTCAACCAGTCTAACCAGCAAATTAGCCGTTTCAACCAACTTAACTGGACAAGTCTTAGGCAATCAAAAAAGTTTTTTTTAAAAAAAGAGTCTAATAAAACGTAACAATATATTTAAAACATGATTAAAATTTTTCAAATGAAGTTGAAAATTAAAAAAATAAAGAAAACTTAAAAAATCGATTTATGCCTAGGTGTATTTTTAAAATTATCCTAAAAAGATAGAAAATATATAAAAAAAAAGTATTAACAGCCAAAACAATTTCTAATCTTTGCCAAAATGATGATGAACATTAAAAAATACATTATAAAATAAATCCCTTATTTTTGGATATTTTATATATATTTTTTATTTTATTTTTAAAATGCCCCATCGGTTCACCAAAACCGGCCGAAACCAATTCCAATCTAACCTGGTCTAACCGGACGTTTAGAATTTAAACTGCCAAATTTGTCTACACCGAGAGAGAAAAATGCCTGGATACCAGCTAGAGAGAGAGGAGAGAGAGAGAGAGAGAGAATATCTCATTCAGGGAGGGAGGGAGGGAGGGAGGAAGGGAGAGAGAGAGCGCTTGGATACAGCATTCTAAACAATTCAGATAGAACATGGAGAAAGATGAGAGAGAGTTTGGATGCAGTGGTCTAGACAATTCAGATAGAGAATGGAGAGAGAGAGAGAGAGAGAGAGTTTGGATACAGTAGCCTCGACAATTCTGATAGAGAATGGAGAAAGATGCCTCTGCCAGACATTGGAAGGAGAGAGACAGAGAGATGCCTCCTACGTAGACATTCTATGGATTTGCTGTGTGAGAGAGAGAGATTCAAGCATTAAATCAGAGCTATGACTCTGCTTTCTTTGCATCTTATTAATCAACCACCAAGGCAAAGAGAAACCCCATGTCTGACCATGTCAATAATAATTTAATTACATGCATGATCAACTGAACTGGTTGGTCTTCTAAGGAATGAACCCCACAACCCAACCTCCAAAAGACCAAATTCCCTCCCCCCCCCAATAATTCTCTCTCTCTCTCTCTC